GGCAGGAGAATAGGCAAGACGGGAAGAGGGAAATGAAGCCGCGATTAAAATAATCGCGGCTTCATTTAAATTTAAATGGCTGCCCCGATCTGTCGATCAGCTGTTTGTCGGCAGATCGGGGCAGTCTGGACGCGACGCGCCGACAAAGAAGCCTTTCTTCATCGGCACAGGTAAGCCTCGTGAAACGAGGCTTACCTGTGCCGATGAAGAAAGGCTTCTTTGTCGGCGCGTCGCGTCCAGACTGCCCCGATCTGCCGACAAACAGCTGATCGACAGATCGGGGCAGCCATTTAAATTTAAATGAAGCCGCGATTATTTTAATCGCGGCTTCATTTCCCTTTTCCGATCTGGCTAATCTACATGCCTCCGTCGAAGGAGGCATGTAGTCTAGACACACCCTTAGTGAGGAGAAGGATGGTCACAATAACAGGACCAGAAACATAGGGTCGGCATGGGGAATCACAGCTGGAGTTTTTCCCAGAAGCACCACAGCCAACCTCCCTCCTTAATGAGATAATGGCAGCCCACCAAAAAGATCTAAGAATGATGTGAGAAATGCAGGATCTCCAACCTAGGGGTGAACAGTTCTGTAGCACAGTTGAGCAGATGCAAAGACTATATATCCCATTTGAAAGCCTGAAGAAGCACATAAAGGCAACTTTTGAGAGGACAAGGGATAGTCATTCTTATTCAGCTGAGATACTTAGATGCATCAGGCTGAACGACTCTCGGGGAAGGACTATTTTTTAGGACACAATGGCTGTGTCTAGACTGGCAAAGTTTTTCCCCAAAACAGTTTGTTTTTTGGAAAAACTTGCCAGCTGTCTACACTGGCCGTTTGAATTTCCGCAAGAACACTGACTTCCTACTGTCTGAAATCAGTGCTTCTTGCGGAAAAACTATGCTGCTCCTGTTCAGGCAAAAGTCCTTTTGCGCAAAGCTTTTGCACAAAAGGGCCAGTGTAGACAGCTCAGATTTATTTTGCGGAAAAAAGCCCTGATTGCGAAAATGGCGATCGGGGCTTTTTTGCGCATAAATGTGTCTAGATTGGCCACGGATGCTTTTGTGCAAAAGTGCTTTTGCGGAAAAGTGTCCACGCCAATCTAGACGCTCTTTTCCGCAAATGCTTTTAATGGAAAACTTTTCCGTTAAAAGCATTTGCGGAAAATCATGCCAGTCTAGACGTAGCCATTTAGTTTTTTTACTAAACGAGCTCATCTCCTATTGGAACCCACAGAGACTGGCTTATGGCAAAGATGAATTTGGGCCATTCTCTTGGCATGGTAAAACCCACCTACAGAAGATGGCCTACTTTCACCTACTATTGTTCTTCATGTCATTACCCTATTTTTAAGTACATTACAGCTGGCTAATTCCCTGACCAATCTGAAGATTTACAGCATGAATGGATTCTACTGGGGCAGTGATTGCAAAGCCAGACGATGCCAAATGCTCCATACTCACCAGATCTATGTGGATGTGAGGTCACTCATGTCTCCCCATGCCAATGATGAATCTTTTGGTAAAGAAGTGGTTACATGGTAGTACCAAAGGATATCCCTGGACAGTTGCCACTCAGATACCCTGGTGCCCCCTCCAATGCCAAGACACTGGTTGGTTATGTCCACCCTCCCCTTTTAGCAGCTGTCCCTGTGGACTCACTTCCTGTAGGCAGCCCTTCATAGGACAGCTGAGTCTTCTGTGTGACATCACAATCCCACTCGAGCAGCACTGCACTTGCCAATTATGATGCCATCAGATGACATGATACTCTGGAGAAGCTGAGCATGACTCAGCCACTTTCTTGGAAGAAGGGTGCTAGAATGAACCTCAGAAGATCAGCACAGGGAGAGGAGACATGGTACTGACAGCAGGCACAGAAATGTGACAGTGCTCCTTTCTGATGAGTTCTGCTTCTTGAAAGCTCTTGGACAAAGCATCAGACTGTAACTGGAATTCAAATTATGTTGCAAACCTGCAACCCAACCATTCTCACTCCTCCAGGGTTAAAAAGAGAACTTGATAAGTTCATGGGGCATAGGTCCATCAATGGCTTTTAGCCAAAATGGGCAAGTATGGTGTCCCTAGCCTGTCAGAAGCTGGGTATGGGTGAGAGGGGATGGATCACTTTATGATTCCCTGTTCTGTTGATTCCCTCTAGGGCATCTGGCATCGGCCACTGTTGGATGCCAGGATACTGGGCTAGATGGAGCTTTGATTTGACTCAGTATGGCTGTTCTTATGTTCTCCCTCCACTCCTGCGCTGGATCCAAACATTCCTGAACATTAGGAAACTTCAGAGATAAACATTACAGCCTATACCCATGCATAAATAGTAAGAGTTGTATTAAGAACAGTTTGGCTATGTCTACACTGGCGGGTTCTTGCACAAGAATATCTTGCACGACTATACTTGCGCAAGATCTCTTGCACAAGCAAACGTCCACACTGGCCAAAACCGCATCGTAAGAACGCTGAGCTCTTGCGCAAGAAAGCGTCCACACTGGCGGGAAGCCCTTGCACAAGAACGTGTCTCCGGAAGAAATTCGGCCATGTCAAGAGGTCACCAGCAGCATCTGTGGGCATAGAATCATAGAATATTAGGACTGGAAAGGACCTCGAGAGGTCATCGAATCCAGTCCCCTGCCCCCATGACAGGACCAAATACTGTCTAGACCATCCCTGATAGACATTTATCTAACTTACTCTTAAATATCTCCACAGATGGAGATTCCACAACTTCCCTGGGCAATTTATTCCAGTGTTTGACTACCCTGACAGTTAGGAACTTTTTCCTAATGTCCAACCTAAACCTCCCTTGCTGCAGTTTAAGCCCATTGCTTCTTGTTCTATCCTCAGAGGCCAAGATGAACAAGTTTTCTCCCTCCTCCTAATGGTTCATCCTGTACTCCCCTTTAGGGATGGGTTAGAAAGTAACTCATCTCTTACCAATTCATCTAAAAGAACAAGAGGGCAGATTGTAAATTGTCAAGAGACCAATTGACTACACTGAACCATTCATTTCAATGGAGCTTTGACAATTTATGTTAGCTGAGGATCTGCCCCATTGCATGCTGGGCTGAAGGGTGTTGTTTACCCTGCCCTTTGTCTGCATCACCTGACAAAGATTTTCAGACTACTGTAATCAATGCAACATGTACATCATTCCACTGAAAATAAATCACAACTTGTAATATAAATAGACAGGAATGCAAACAAGCAAGTGCATTAGTCAGCAAAAACATGCATGCAATTAAAATTATGCTGAAAGTTCTATGAATGTTTAAAGATGTAATTTAGTACTTTGATATAAAAACAGCATTAGAAAAAAACCAATATATGGAACACTAGGGGTTTATTACCTGGAAACATTAATCTAGCTCTGATGTAGGCCTCAGTCCTGAGTAACAGTATGTATGCAAGCAATAATTATAAAATTCATATAAATTATGTATTTGTTATGAGTTCATCCCACTTTCTCCTCAAATACTACAAGGAGTCCTGTGGCACGTTAGAGACTAACAAATTTATTAGGGCATAAGCTTTTGTGGGTAAATCAGATAAAGTAGGTTTTACTCACAAAAACGTATGCCTTAATAAATCTGTTAATCTCTCAGGCTATGTCTACACTGGCGGGTTCTTGCGCAAGAACATCTTGCGCAAGTATACTTGTGCAAGATCTCTTGCGCAAGCAAACATCCACACTGGCCAGAATGCTGAGCTGTTGCGCAAGAAAGCGTCCACACTGGCGAGAAGCCCTTGCGCAAGAACGTGTCTCCGGAAGAAATTCGGCCATGTCAAGAGGTCACCAGCAGAGTCTGTGGGCATGCACCGGACCCCCACTGGGAAACGTACTTAAAGGGACTCCTGGACGGCCGTTTCCCTGTGGCTGCGTGCTCAGGCACCCCTTTCGAGGGAGCGAGAGCCACAATAGCGCCTGTCACCTCTGTTCCTGGCAAGTGCCCCTGAGCACCCTTGCTGCCACCTTCACAGCCATGGAGCCAGAGGAGGACCCCAGCCAGCAACGTCCCCTCATGGCCATTATAGAGGCTGTGGAGCTCCTCCCCCAGGGAGCCACATTGCTCCAGCAGGAGCTGGAGACTGGGCAGCACGTGCAGGACCTCGCCACGCCTGCAACTGGGCTCGGGCACCCGCACCCCACCACCGACAGGCGCCTCTGGAGCTATGACACCAGTGCGGGACTGGTGGGAGCTCCTCATGCTGGGACAATGGGGTGACAGGCAATGGGTTCACCTCTGTTCCTGGCAAGTGCCCCTAGGTTGCTCCAGCAGGAGCTGGAGACTGGGCAGCACGTGCAGGACCTCGCCACGCCTGCAACTGGGCTCGGGCACCCGCACCCCACCACTGACAGGACGCCAGTGGGGACTGGTGAGAGCGCCTGGTGCTGGGACAATGGGGCGGCCAGCAATGGGTGCAGAACTTCCGGATGCGCAGGGGGACATTCCATGAGCTCTGCACCTGGCTCACCCCTGCGCTCCAGAGGCAGGACACCCGCCCGTGCCCCGCCATCCTCGTGGAGAAGAGGGAGAAGAGGGTTGCGATTGCCGTATGGAAACTAGCAATCCCGGACAGCTACCGCTCCGTGGGGAACCAGTTCGGGGTGAGCAGGTCCACCATCAGCACGGTCGTCCAGCAGGTAAGGCCCTCTGTGGACCACGAGCTCGTCCTGGGGGAGGGAAGGGGCCAGACCAGGTGGGGGGAGGCTATAGGGGCAAGGGGAAGCTCTGCACACAGCCCCACTGGTGGTGGAGGAGGAAATCCCGGGGGGCAGAGGGCCCTGGCCTGTGTGTGGGGAGAGGCCATCAAAGGGAGGGTGAGCACACCCCAGGGGCCCATGTACGCACTGTGTCTCATTCCATGCATCCCCTGTGCCCCTCTGCAGGTCGTCCATGCCATCAATGATGTGCTGTTCCAGAGGGTGATCGCCAGCCTCGGGTTCCCGAACTGTGGGGGAGCCGTAGATGGGACCCACATCCCCATCCGGGTGCCAGAGCACCGAATGGCCCGGTTCATAACCCAGAAGGGCTACTGCTCAGTGGTGCTCCAGGCGCTCGTGGACCCCCAGGGCCGGTTCCAGGACATTTATGTGGGGTGGTCCGGCCAGGCCCATGATGCTCACATCTTCAGGCACTCAGGCCTGTGCCACAGACTGGAGGTGGGCACCTACTTCCCCCAGCGGGAATTCACCATTGGGGATGTCAGGATGCTGGTCTGCATCTTGGGGGATGCAGCCTACCCCTGATGGCCTGGCTGATGTGGCCATACACCGGTCTCGGAGGGCCTCCTCCTTTCCCCAGAGGTCCAGGAGGGCAGGACCTGTGGGCCTGCTAGGTGCTCTGGGGTGGCTCCTCGGTGGGGTCTGAGGGACCTGGCTGAGGCTGGGCAGCTGCCATTGCTCCTCCTGGCTGCTACCCAGGCTGCACGTGGCAAATGGCTGTGCTATGTGCCTGTGCCTTTAAGGGGGGGGTCAACTAGGGGGAACTAACGAGTGGTGATTGCCTGTACAGAGTGTCGGAGAGGCCACCTGTGTTTTTGACTGGAGGCCAATTCTTGCGCAAGTACGCGTTTGCTGAACGTCCACACTGCTCTCTTGTGCAAGAGCGCCTGCGCAAGAGAGATTACACCTGATAGAAAACAGCGTAGCTCTTGTGCAAGGAGCCGTCTCTTATCATGCTGTACTGTACATTTACTTGCACAAGAGCAGGTGGACAGAATAGACACTCTGCAGATTCTTGTGCAAGCACGGCCATTCTTGCACAAGAAGCCGCGAGTGTAGACATAGCCTTTTTGACTTTTGGCTCATGATAAAAAGTAGCTCACAACAGACCTTGTAAAATGGCTGCTATGAGAAGCAAAGAAATGATTTGAAAACAGAGAGAGAAATATTTGGAACAGTTCAGATTTGAGAACAGTTAGTATTACAAGGGACAGATTTCTTCCCCAGATTCCACCCAATTGTGCAGTCCACCTAGTGACAATATATTTTCAGTAAGATGTAGCTGTATTAAACGTCTGGTTCTGGAAAACCATTTGCCTGGCTGACAAAGATTCTGAACTTTTTTTTATACTATACTCACACAAGTCAGAATTTGTAAAAGCTCAGGGTATGTCTACACTATACTGACCTATCAGAAAAAGGTACGCAAATTGAGCTCCACAATTTGTATACCATTTTCCGATAGTTTTTTTGGAAGAGACTTTTCCAAAATTTGGCCCCTTCTACACTGAGCCAAATTTCAGAAGTCACCTCTTTTGGAAGAGCCTTTCTTCCTTGTGGGAGGAGGAAGACAGGGCTGCCAAAAGAGCATGTTTGCTCTTCCGCAAAAAAAGCAGAAAAGAGGACATGTTCCCCGGACGCGGCAGAGTTTTTCTGGGATAAAACCCCATGGCTACGTCTAGACTGGCATGATTTTCCGCAAATGCTTTTAATGGAAAAGTTTTCCGTTAAAAGCATTTGCGGAAAAGAGCGTCTAGATTGGCACGAACGCTTTTCCGCAAAAGCACTTTTTGCGGAAAAGCGTCCGTACCAATCTAGACGTGCTTTTGCACAAAAAAAGCCCCGATCGCCATTTTTGCCATCGGGGCTTTTTTGTGCAAAACAAATCTGAGCTGTCTACACTGGCCCTTTTGCGCAAAAGCTTTTGAGCAAAAGGACTTTTGCCCGAACGGGAGCAGCATAGTATTTCTGCAAGAAGCACTGATTTCTTACATGAGATCGTCAGTGTTCTTGCGGAAATTCAAGCGGCCAGTGTAGACAGCTGGCAAGTTTTTCCGCAAAAGCAAGTGCATTTGCAGAAAAACTTGCCAGTCTAGACACAGCCACCATAAGTGTAGACATAGCCTCACACAGTTTTATAGGTGCAATTTGAGAGTGAAAGCTGAGCAACTCAGGTGGCTATAAATGGAATTCCTATTTTGAATAGCTTTTGAGCATATGCAGAGGTCTTCTGCAGGTAGCTTGAAAGTTTGTCTCTCTCACCAAGTTGGTCCAATAAAAGATACTACTTCCCTCACCTTGTCTCTCATATCCTGGACCAACACAGCCTACCTGTGTGCAAACCACCCAAATCCCTATTCTGCCAAAGCAGTTGGCATTTTGAACCTTAAAGTACTGCTAGCTGTGCTGTTACCATCTGAGACAGGAAAGAGGCAAGAGAAAACAACTTGTGAGTTCTGTTTGCCAACAGCTCCCAGCCCATAATTTAAATGATGTTTCTAGTTTAAAGAGATCTTCAGAACCAGAACCCCAGCATAGATGACCTGACAGATGCTGCTAATGTTGTGGTTATTAGACACCTAAATGTTCAAAATTCTGGCAGTCCTACTACTAGGGTTCCAAACTTAGCGAGCCCAAGGCTACAGCTACTCTGCTGTTTTTTTGTGGAAGAGGATATGCAAATTGTGCTCTCATTTGCATATCTTCTTCTGATTCTTTTTGCGGAAGAGGTTTTGCTGCTAAAAAGCGCCATGTAGACAGGGCCATTTGTTGGAAAAACCCCTTTTTCGCAAGATCCTGAAAACCTTGATTTTTGAGGAATAAGGGATCTTGTGAAAAAGGTTTTTTTCCCCCAACAAATGGTCCCATCTACACGAGGCTAAATCTCTTCTGCAAAATCGGAAGATATGCAAATGAGCACAATTTGCATATCATCCTCTTCCTCAAAAAAATGGCAGTGTAGCGGTAGTCCAACTCTGGGGGAGTCCCTTCTGCAGTCAAGGCTTTACCAGGTGCAGGAACAGAGTTGGTGGCAGATTACATACATGCTCAGAAACAGACCTTAAGAAATGTAATTTTGTAGCTTGAGCAGGGGCCTAGCAGTTCCTTGTTCCTATTTCTTTTCCCAGCTTTAGTATTGATTCCCTACATGATCTTGAGCAAATCATTTCTCTGTTCGGTAGGGACGGGAAGCTTACTTTGCATTTAATACTTTGAGATCGCAGCACAACGACAGAGAGAAGTTTTAAGATGTCCCTAAAGATGCTGATCCCGAGACAAAGGACATGAAATAAAAAAAAAGGGGGGGGAGGGATATTGACCAAATTTCCTGGAGCTAGACTGTTACCAGAGCTGAGATATTAGTGGTAAGCAAGGAGCCAGAGCAGCATCTGGAAGAGATGTAGAATGTAACAACAGCGTGACACTAAAATTCAGAGATTTCTTTTCTGAATGGCAAATTCTGTTTGGATACTTGACATGCAAACACATGTTGACTCTTAGTTCACTAAAGACAGACTGAAATGTTTAACATTTATTTCCTTCCTGGCTTCTTTCCCTTCCTTGATTGTCCATCTGTTGGTGTCTCTGTGTTGTAAGCATTTCTGAAAATGAATCCTTGTAAACAGGAAACACAACTGAATCTCTGCTAATTCAATCAATCCAGCTAAAGAGAGACACGAGGAAAATGATGGGGGCATTATGATTAGGGTAACAACATTTAATGAAGTCAGATTTTACTCAAACACTACCATGCAATCTCTTTCCAAATGGACACTTGCAGATTACCACTTTTATGGGGGTGGGGAGAAATGTGTATAAGTGTTTTCTGTCTTTTGTACTTCATGCTCTTTGGGGATTTTGTCATTTTCTTCCCCTTTGCTTTTTAATCTTCTAATCACCACAGATGTACACTGTGAGCTTATCCCAGCCCAAAGCATCCTTCTTTCCAAACTTGTAGTGGGCAGTGGAGTAAAACACACAGTTACATGAAAAGATGGCAGCCCAGTTGAAAAAAATCAATACAAACAAAGCCGCAGGAGACAAGACATTAGCTCAAATTTCCAACCCATTTCAGAATCTTTATTGAAAAAAATTAATCACAGCATCTGAATTATTATTCAAACACATTTAATAAACAAAGAGAAACAGTAGCAAAGGGCACTGACACATGACAAACTGTACAAAACCTCTGGGTTTGCAGGCAAAACCTGAGGGTGAGGAGCCTACGGCTGAGCTGCAGAGGTCTGAGGAACTGTGCCCTCACCCCTGTGGCTGACCCCCTCCCTTCCCCTCGGACCACTCAGTCACCCCTGAGAAGATTGATTTAAAAATGTGCAGAAACAAAGACACTTTAAGAGAAGGTTAATTCCAGTCTCACCATAATGGAACAATTTAGGCCACTGGGAAATTAGATAAAACTCACTATCCGATCCCAGAGCTAATGCTTTAAAGTGAACCTTCCCAAGATGCAAAACCCCACAGCTATTCATCACACCTCCTACCACTGCTCCCCTCTCCCAGGTACCAAAATATACTGCCCAGGAGGGGCAACAGGACTGATTTCATGTGATTTTTTTTCTTTCAGCTTTCATTTGAGGAGATGTGACTGAACTAAAGGCAATGGAACGGAAAGCCCCATCTCCAGCAGTGCACCAATGCAACTGGTATGTAATGTGGAAACCAAGTGAGACGAGTTCTTTAGACTTTACTGTCTGCGACAGGTAACCTTTCGCCCTGTTACAGAGGAGCAACTCTAAAGCCTCCTTCTCTAGATGGACTGCAAGTCTTTGTACCTAAAGGAGCCCAGAGCCTTCCAGAAGCCTAGAACAGTCCCCTATTATTACCAAAAATCTTGAGATTCAGTGGGGACGCAAATGATAGAAATCATTTTCTACAAAACAACTCGCTCCAAGAACAGTCAATTGAATTTCAGGGGGGCATTAAATCCACCAACATTTCTGGTTGGAAAGGGAAGTGGGGGAGAGAACAGAATGTAATCTTTATTGTCTGTTCCCCCATGTATCTGGCAGAAACATTCAATTCTTTGCAACTTAAACAGGACACACTGAAGTGGTCACGGCCTGTTGTAACTACCTGGTTGTTCTTCTGGTTTGTTTTACTGGCACCGTTCCTGTTGGGTGTGGAGAAGGTAGGGCTATTCAAACAGCTATTCTGACAGCAGGCACTCCTCATATGGGCTTCACAGGCATGGGGTATCATTCTGTCAAACTGCACTGGGTAAAATGTCACCCTCCAAGCAAACCTAGCATTGCTTCATGCCCACCAGCTTGAACAACATGTCAGAGAGGCTTTTTGTTGATAACGTGAATAGGGCAGCTAAATTATTCCTGCTATTGTTAGTCGGATCATTCCCAACTTCTCATTCTCCCGGGTGGTAGGGAGGGGGTGGTGAGATAGATGATGGTGCAAAGGCTAGTGTGATATGTGGCTTTTATGCTGCTGAACTGCATACGTGCATTTTTTTTTTATTTCTCAGCTCTGTCCGCAAACTGACTATGGCTGGGGCTACAAGATACCCATAGTTAAGAGCTATATGTACACATCACAGTGTTATTTGGGCCCAGCCAAGGCATCCAGTCTATTCACACCCATGTCATTTCACCACGACAGACAGGAAAGAAAGGGCGGGGGAGCAAGAAAGCTGGACTTTAGAGTATGGTGCCACACCAACTGAATGTTAACAGCCCCAAACTGACACAATGTGAGTTCAAAGACATTTGGCACAGTCTGTTGCTACCAAGACTAGCTAGCACCCTCCTTCCTGAGAAAGAGGTGAAGACCCCACTGCAGGAAGCACACTGACAGCAGTTTGGAGAAAAGCTGGACTGGAGAGCGTGAGGGGGTATATCCCTCTGAGTTTCTTTACTGCACCTTGTTCAATGAAAAGGTCATCCATATCCTCAGAAGCCACTGCTCGCTGCCCTCTGCCTCAAGTCAACAAGGAGGAGACAGGATGGGAAACTTCCCTATGCACAAAACATTGACAAGACCACAGTGAGCCCAAATTCCTCCAGGGAGAATCCCACACTCATCAACCCAAACAAGGAAGTCTATGCTCGTGGCCTAGTCCAGGAACTTCCACTATGGCCTTGCCAGTGCCAGTGAATTCCAATGTATCTGGAACTTTGGTTCAACCACAGTTTGGGATTCGACTCAAAAGCCCAGGTGCCAGAGCACTGACCTACAAGGAACAAAGCCATAACAAAGGAAAAAACATGCAGCAAATTTCTACGAAATTCCATTTACCAAATAGGAGGGATATGTCACTGCTTAGGGATGGCACAGATTCATTGAAGGGATCAGTGACTCCAGTTTGGCTAAGATTAGAATTAAAGAGAGAGGCACAAACGAACATTTGCACGTCCATTCAAGGCATTCCAAAAAAAGTCACAAAAGTCGACACATCACTTTGGACAAGAAACATTACAACACTTTGGCAACTTTCACCAAGCCCCCCAAAGTCTCTGCAATGCCCCTTGGTACTTTGCGCTGACCTACTGAAGGTGGGATAATGAGGGGGCTGCAGATGTGGAATCGCCATACGTCAATTGGGGCCCCAAACTATCGGATGGATTTAAAACAAACCTACCTGCTTCTACAGTACAAAATAAAGCCTCCCCTAACTCCTCCTGCTGGGAGAAGACAGTAGTAGATCAAGGGAGTCCGTGCTGCTGGAGACAAACAAGGCAAAGCTGAACGTGGGAGCAACAAGTCCCTAATCTTGGTAAATCAAGTAATGTCATGCCAGGCTAAAATAGATCTATGGCAAGGGACTGGAAGGGAAGTGGGACAGGATCCCTGTCACCACTCTCATCCAACCTGGAGAGAATAAAGGACAGAACCATTTACTCTGTCACTAGCATGGGCCAATGTAGATTTTTAAATATGCGTGAAGAGCAATGGGCTTTGGGATATGCCAAGAGCCCACATTAAATAGTGCCAGCAGTAGACCCCCTCCAAGACCCACATTAGACAGAAACACAAGTCCTCTCCCCACTAGACTTCTTTTGTATCTAACTCAGTGCTCAGGAACTTGACAAATACAAACAAGAATGAAAGAGTTTCAGTATTTAAAAAAAAAAAAAAAGAGACAAAGTTCTTGGTTTTTGACACTCACTTCTAAACCCTCTTCAACTGATTTGTATGGGGCCAACTGGTGGGGAGGAACACTGGAGGGTATCTTCCAAGTTTCCTATTTGATAAGCCTGGGCACGCAAAATGGCACAGCTCTAATACAAATCCTCTTTCACCTATTCCAGCCCATGGCAAGTTGGGCTGACTACAAGGGCTCATGGACACAAGCAACCCTCATAAAGGCTCTGACAGGGAATCTAGCCCAGCCATTGTTGGAAAAATTCAATACAGCGCCGACCAAAAAAACAAAACAAAACATTTGGAAAAGGGACTATCCGACTGGAAGAGTCTCTTCTTTCCTTTGTTTCCTGGGATTAGAGGGAAGCCTTTGGTTTTGACCAGAATTATTCTCTGTTGGCAGGACAGGCTCAGCTTTGCTTTGCGTTAGCTCGGTTACTGTACAAGAGCAAGGCTGAACTGCGGAGAAATGCTCTGCCCAGCTAGATTGCCCTTTTGACATCTCAAAGTATAACAGAACCAGACATGTGGATCACATCCGGGATCCTCGCTCCTGAAGAATCTGAAAAGAGAAGGGCTGATATAATAAGGGTTGAACTTGGACAAATTAGGATATTAGTTCTCACAGTCTACAAAAAAAATACTATTTATGCAAATAGGGGAAGGAAAAATTGATGGAGGGGAATATGTGAAGAATCCTTAGGAGTGGCTGCTGGTTTTTACATAATTTTTATGAACACCTGATTTCCTTGGAAAAGACAGGCCTGTGCTAAAACACTTGGCTTTTGGTCACAGCAAGGCACTGACTTTTGCTGCACCTTGACAAAAATCTTTTATCGTTTCAGATTGTGTGATTTGTGAATATTTAATGATGCATCGTCTTGGTTCATAACACAGTTCTTCCCCTGTTTCTACCCAGGTACCTCACCCACTCAGATTCCACAGCATGAACTGTAGTATTTTTAAGCAATATATATATTTTACTTCATGAAAGACAAGGTGCTAGTGCTCCATCTCAGTGAGATAAGCATTATGACCGTTTTACAGGTGGGAAAACAGAGGCACAGATATTAAATGACCTGCTCAATGCCAAAGAGCATGTCTAACAGAGCTATCCTGGTTCTGAGGTCCACCAACACCTACGAGTCTCCCTCAGAACCTTAGAGAAACTGTGGAGATAAGATGATACAGCCTCTTCTAGAGGTAGAGGTCAGTTGCATGCAGGAACCTCAGAAGGATCATTTCATATTTTTGATATGCTGATATAGTGTTGATCAAAGAAAAAAAACCCCACAATTTCCTCTGCTCTCTGCATTGACAATCAGTTAGGAAATGTAATCTGTTCTCACCCTTTCTTCACTCCTTTTTACATATTTAAAACAAAGTTCATCCCCTTTTCCTTATATATCCATGGCTCAATGTGAAATGTATGAAGAGCTTTGGATCTGGATAGATTTGCTGTAATGTCATCTAGTAAAACTGAAAATTAGAGAATAAATGTGCACAAGGAATTATATCAATTTCATGGCATCGTTAGAGCACAGAGGAATTTTTTTTCTTCTGTACATGGGGCCATTTAAAGACAGCTCTCTTCACCAGGCTCCTCACCTTTGCCTTCTCGCTAGGTTCGATGACAATGCCATTGGTAGAGTTATTGAGCTCCCTGGAGACGACACAGAGGAATTCTGCCTGGTCCTCATTGCCATAGTTATAGGAAGATCCGATGCTGATTAGCTGAAGAACAGGAAAATAACCAAGAGGGTGTAAGAATGAATGCAGCAATAGCTAGGATGACTATCCATCCCATTTTTAATGGGACAGTCCCTTATTTAAGCCCTGGTGCTGGTGTCCCGCCTTTAAAAAAAAAAAGCCAATTGTCCTGTATTTTCCACACTTGTGCGCCCCCTGCTGGTCAGTGGGCAATTAGCAGGCAATTAGCATAGCTGCAGCAGCCTCCTGTTTGTGGCTGGCGGGGGGCAAAGTTTGGGGGTACTGAGGACGTTGCCCCCACCCCAAACCCAAACTTCAGTGAAAGTGCAGGGCAGTCCTGGGGACAGAGCCACCTTCCCTTTCTCCCCATCCCCTGGCCAGTTTGGAGGTAGGAATTTTCAGCCATGCAGTGCAGGGCATCTGCTCCCCTGCTTGGTGCCATGGTGCAGACAGCTGTGCTGTTCCCTCCTCTCATGCTGCTGCTGCAGGGGCAGAGGGATGAAGATGTCCTCAGCACCCAGTCCCAGTCCCCTTTTCTCACACATATGGTAAGAGTTGTAAGAGTTGCAGGAGTGGGGAACCAGATTCCATGTCTGGCAGAGCCTTTGGGGGACGGGCTGCAGTGTAGCCTCCTGGCACACAGCCTCTAGTTACAATTTGGAGATATACCTATTGCAGAGAACTGGAAGGGACCATGAAAGGTCAAGTCCAGTCCCCTGCCCTCACGGCAGGACCAAGTACCATCACTGACAGATTAGCCCCAAATACCTAAATGGCCCCCTCAAGGATTGAACTCACAACCCTGGGTTTAGCAGGCCAATGCTCAAACCACTGAGCTATCGCTCCCCCCATCTCTGTCCCCTGAGCTACCCCCCTACTCGCACAGAGCCCCTAGCTACTTCTTGCCTGCACCCTGAACTAGCCCTGCCCTCACACAGCCTCTGGCTACCCCCTTCCTGCAATGAGCTACCTGCCTGCCTGCCTACACACAGCCCCAGCCACTCCTCTTTCTATACCTTGAGCTACCTGTTCCAGGCTCCCTGAGTAGCTGTTTTCAAACTTGAGCTAAGTCCCCTCCCCACCATTTAAGCCATATTTTTTGGTTGCGCCTCCCCCTGCCATAACCAAGACACCCTGCTGGGATGAATCAGGGTGGAGGTAGCACTGCCTCCCCAGATCTGCCACATGAAGCTGGCTTGAGCCTGCTGGCCTCTGTCCCCAAAACAGAAGTCATACTACACTCAGACAGAGAAAGGGTTACAGCCTAAATGGACTTGGGATCCCATAAGTCCCATGTCTCCCAACCACTTCTCTGACAGGTGACGCATGGGAGTGAAAGAGACAGCACTGCACCCCCCCAAAAAAATCCATGGGCAGGAGGATTAAGGGATTGGCCACCAGCCAGCAGGCCCAGAGTCTCTGGGCATCTGGGGGATCCTGGCACCAGTATCAGGGGTAGATCCTTGCTCCAGCACTTTGCGCACCAGCTCACCTGTCCCTTGTAATGCAGAGCAGCAGCGGGGGAGGTTATGCTGGGACCCGCAAGCCAGAATGAGTGCTGTAATGGCGATCATTATCGACTAATGGAGTAGTCAATAAAAAAAAAATCTATCGACTACTCGATTAGGAAAGTAACCACATTTTAACAGCCTTAGTATTCACTATAAGGAAATATGGACACTCTAGCAATAGCCAATGTACTTAGCTCTGTCCTTGATACTACCTTGTGAACTGTAATAACTGGCTGGTTGAACCCAGTCTGAACTAAAGTTTCAACAGGAAAAAAATGTCTTGGATGCTGACTTGTGTTATAAGCCTTCCCCTCAAATGGTACGGGGCCATGACTAGACGTGCTGCAGAGTCCCCTGGTGGTGGATGAGCTGGGAAAATTCTGACTGTAATGTAAAAGGGGAACTTGGAAAGCTGTGATACGTTTTCCAATTCAGGACAAAATTGATGAAATGTTGCAGTACAAAATGTTAATCCCCAGCCAAATACTTCAGAGACTAGATATGCCAGGCAATGTGGGCTCTACAGAAAGAATCACTCACCCCAGAGGATACACCTGTTTCAGTTCTAGGAATACAACTCCGGACTTTTTGACACAGAAACACTGGACAGGCAACATGTTTATCACAAAGGTAGGAGGACACTGTACTCCAGCAACTAAAGTGGGGTGGACAATAGAAGAGCACGGACCAGGTCATTGCTTCCACAGCTCCCATTGGCCAGAAAGTGCAATCCACAGCCAATAGAAACTGCAATCACCCGTATCTGCAGAGCCACAGGTAAATATAGTGGTCATGGCCCAGGAGGGGCTAATCCTGGCAAACTGGATTTGACCCATGGGCTGGTATTTGCCCACTCCTGAACTAAGTGATACCTGACAAACTGGCACAATTCTTCTATAATTATTACATTAAAGTGACAACCTGGAATAAACAGCATAGTTACAGACTGAAGAAAAACAGTATGAATGGTGTGTATTTTAATGGATATACTTTGATTTTAGAAAAGAGAACTTTGCACTAAAACAAGGTATAGACGTGGATCATTGTGCCCTTAATATAATCATCATATCCATTGTTCTGCAGGTTTGAAGGAGGATTAGCCAAGCTATAATAATAGAAATGTCTTGTATAATGAATATGCTTTAATGGTTGCATTGATTCATTATGGAGGACAAAAGACTTGGTCTCTAGATGTCAATGGACTGTTTTTCCTTTGTATTTCACCACTTGACTGTCTCAACTATAATGAACTTGAACAGCTGCACTTCAGACCACAAATCACAATGGGTACATAGAATCCATGTAAATTAGAAAAGATATTTAGCTGCTCTCTCTCCTACCTCACTATGCTGCTATTGATACTCGCCCTAGCTTTCATTGAGCGAGCAGAGTATATGCACAGGAACAGGAGAATCACATCCCTAGCTTATAGAACAGCCACAGCCACAGCCACAGAGGGAACCTGTCAGGGGATGACAGGGGAATTTAATTCCTCACCCTGGTCAATCCTTGGTATCTGTGCTTCTAACAAAGAGAGTAAGTAGTGCCGAATGTGATAAGGATGCTTGTCCATTGAACAATGGACACTGAACAACCACTCTGATTTCATATTGGACAGTCACAGATTTTGGTCACTACTAAACTGGACTGGATTGGACGGATGATCTAGAAAGCAAAGGCTTTGTCTTGTTAGTCCTATGAGCCATTTGGTATATTTCATTCCAAGTAGATGTTGCAGATTACAGTTCAGGAACAGTGAACTGCAGCCAATGGGAGCTGCGAGGCTCTGGGGCTGCGGAGCCAGTAAGTAGACAAACCAGAGTGGCCCGCTAGCAGCTCTCTCAGAGTGGGTCTGTGGAACACTTTGAGAAATATTGTACTACAAACATACAAGAAAAATTTGTTATTTCTGGTACCAAAGCTGAGGCACTTTTATACCCTCTGGATCCTCCCTGAAACATGGTCAGCAAACTGGTTATGTTGCAAATGCAGAGTGTTTAGCATTTGCAGGATAAGGTACTTCTCATGTCACTCAACACTTCCCCTTGAAAGGGCCATGCTACTGGGCTCTAAAGAAAGTTGTTTTAATTTCTTCTGGATTCCATTTATTCTCCTTAGACTAAAGCTCCACAGTGGAGCCAGGAAAAGCAGGAGGAGAGAAGAATTTCTCAAGTCTGACAAATTTAATTACTTCTTATTATAGGTTCAGTAAGCTACTGTTGCTCTTCTGCCAGTCATTCCATGTAAGGTGGACTGATTCTGGATTAGGGAAGTTAATGGGTAACCAGTAACTTGGTGCCTAGGAGCAGCCCCTGCCCTCGGCCCACTGAGGGCAGAGGGATGCTCCAGCCCTAGTGGGCCCACTGCACTGCAAGCTGGCCTGGGATCTAGCAGCTGTGTAACAGACCAGCAGAGCCAATAGCCCTGTGGGCTGGGGGCTGCTCCAGTCAGGCTGGTGTGGTCCCCCACCTGGAGTTCTCGCTTAATTGGTTTACTGGTTAAACCTAATGTTTAACCCAGTGGTCCCCAAGGTTTTGGGGCTGCCGGGCGCCTGGGGGCGGGGCCGCTCACGCACTGCGCGTACGGGGGCGGGGCCGCTCACAGGCCATGTGACTGGGGGCGAGGCCAAGCATGCGCCGCACGCCCGAGGCCAGCACAGGCATGTGCCACGACCCCGGGCAGAGGCTGCCCAGGTGCCGCGCACCCAGGGCCTAACCCAGTGGTCCCCAAGGTTTTGGGGCTGCCGGGCGCCTGGGGGCGGGGCCGCTCACGCACTGCGCGTACGGGGGCGGGGCCGCTCACAGGCCATGTGACTGGGGGCGAGGCCAAGCATGCGCCGCACGCCCGAGGCCAGCACAGGCATGTGCCACGACCCCGGGCAGAGGCTGCCCAGGTGCCGCGCACCCAGGGCCGGGGCCGGGGCCAAGGCCAGGGGCGAGACCGGGTTTCTCCGCGGGCGAC